CTACTACTACTACTTGTACTACTACGTCGTACTACTAGCACCACCAACGCGACTCAAGCAGTGGTAACGCTGGCTGCTTCTGATGAGTTGCTTCTGGTACTGCTACTACTACTGCTACCGCTGCTGCTGCTGCTGCTGCTGCTGCTGCTGCTGCTGCCGGTGCCACGGCCGTGGATGTGCCTACGGGTAGCTTCGGACAATCTTGGGGATGATTTTGGTCAACAATCCACACTGCTCTAATAATCCGTTCCGACGCTTGGAACTGGATTCTGTCTGTTGTGGATGCTCTGCTGAGGCAGATGTTACATGGATTGGGCTTGAGCATGCATTCAAACGGCCTGGATGCCACAACCTCAGAAGTGCCGATGGTTTGGAATCATCAGAGAAACGAACGAGGCTTGAAAGGCTGCGAACGTGGGAAATCAACCCTAAACCCTACACCCTAAAACCCTACAACCCTAAAACCCGACAACCCTAAACCCACACGTAATCCTGAACACTCCAAGCCCTGCCAGCCTGCGCGGGCAGGTTCGTCGCCGCCACACGACACGCGCACAGCCTGGCCTGAGTTGTCCACAGCCCAGGGTTTAGGGTTTAGGGTTTAGAGTTTAGGGTTTTGAGTTTCGGGATTAACAAAATCATGGGACCTGTAAACCCTTAATCCCTGAACGCTTAAGCCCTAAACCCTTACAGCGCTAAACCCTAAACCCTAGCAACTTGACGGTTTTCTTAGAGCCCTCGAGGCTTCTAGCGGGGTTCAGGGCTTCGAGGATCAGGGGACTTTCTCAAATCAGGTTGCTCTAGTTTGCTGCTTGAAACCCCTACTAAGATGCTTCAATGCTGACTACGTCCCCTGACCCTCCAGTACGGTCGGTTTAGGCATGAGGATCTGAGGATGGTGGCAAGAATTTTGGGGTTGCTGCATACGTAGAGGGTTGGTGAATTCCGAGCGCGACCCTGTAACGCCAAAACAATCCTGCCAGAGTCTGGCAAGCTGTTTAACTCCGTCAGGCACCCCTCGGAAGACAAAACGTTGTAACACCCATATGGTATACAACTGTTGGAATCGGGCACTCCTGTGTAAGTATGCGAAACCCCTATAACACCTGTGTACAACTGCTAACTAAGGTACTCCTAAGTACTAAGTATTCGAAGAAGCCCCTATGATGCCCCAAAACCTAGAACCCTGAACCCGAAGTCTGAGACACAGATGGAGCCTCTGCTGCGTCCGAGTGCAGGGCCAGTCGCCGATGTGCGGCGTCGCAGCGAGGCCTCAGACAGAGATCGGTTTAGCACCTAGGTTAGGAGTTAAGAGTCGGGATTAGGGTTTAGGGTTTTGTGTTTAGGGGAAATTAAGGATTGCGGCTTACTTAGGGTTGAGGCGGTTGAGGGTTGAGGGTTGTTAGGAATGCAAAGGTCCCCCAAGGCTATGGTTAGATCGGGCTTCAGGGCTGAGCCTCTCATATATTGTTGTTACTATTATTGTTATTATTAGTATTACTAGCACTATAATTACTATGATTATGTATTAGACCCTAAACCCTAAACCCTGAACCCCAAACCCCCCGCTGAGTGACGGGCGGGAACGCGAGATTCGCATTCCAGATGCAGGTGCCGACCGGCGGACTATGCTCTTCCTGGCGGCTTCTGGCACATGGACTTCGTGTTGGTACTAGGCTTCTTGAGCGGCTATCAATAAAGGGCATTGTAGGTTGCTAATGAAGGGCTTCATGATTAGAATAGGGTTTTGGGGTACATTCTACTAATAAAGAGCCCGCCAAAATACGATTAGTATTTATTTAGGCTTCTACATTATCTGAAGGAGTTTGGGCTAAAGGTCTTGACCTGCCTAGGGAGCACACCGCACTCTTGCGTGGCTCTACGGCTCTACATTTGGACCATATGACTAGGAGTTTATCTGTTCGAGCTTGTACATCTCCGGGGTTGTTGATGCAAGTCAAATTTCGTGTTGGGATTCAGGTAGTCTCGTTGCTCTGATCATACGGGATATGCGGCTTCATATGTGTTGCTGTGCAAATGGTGCTTTCCCTCTGCCATTTCACCCTCAATGAATTAAGCATTGGGTTTCGGCAGTATTATTCGCGGGGCCTTGAACACTTGAGTCACTTGAGATGACATTAACTCTGGACCCCCCTGAGAACTCTTGGAGGTTCATGGGTAGTTATAAGTAGGGTTATAAGTCCCCTAGTATGGGTTATAAGTATAGTTACCCTACTTATAACACCACTTATAACTACCCATGAACCTCAAAGTTCCCGGAATCCGAACCCCTCAAGACTCAACCGTAAGCCCTGATCAAACGAAGCCGACTCGGCGAAGAAGAGCTTGTTCCGAACTTTGGCATTGAAGTGAGGCGCAGAGCCCTGAATCACTGGTTTAGGCTTTTTGGTGGGATAGGGCTATAGCTTACAGGGGTACTGAATTATGCAGGGGCTACAGGCCCTAGGGCTTTAGGAATCAATGAAGGTAAGCTCAGGGCTTGTAAGTTCTGTGTGCAAGGGAGGGGGGATGGCATGGTACAGGGCTTGTCATGTCTACCCTAAACCCGAAACCCTACCGTAAATTTCGGAAACCTCACCACAACGATATGTTTGCTAAGGATTTGCTGTGCCATGCAATGGAAACAAGCTTTCGAATGCAGTAATTAAGCAAGACGACTCTCAAAGGATGGAATAATCCCACAAGCGAAACGATTTGTTGAAGCGTTCGGTTTAGGGTTTAAGGGTACAGGGTGGCGGGTTTAGGTTTTAGGGGTGTTTGGTTCAGCGTTAGGGTTTACGGGTCTGCAGAAAAGTTGCGAGCTGCTGCATCGTCAATCCCGAGTACTTGTAACCACAAACGGACTCAGGGCAAGTGCTATGGTACCGGCAACTCTGGCGCGAGCTGAATACCGAACCGAAAAACTGCCTCACCATAATAATAGCTGGGCCTCAATACTTCGAATAGGGTTTGGGGGGTGATCTATGCTTTCAGGACATGAGGGTCTAAACGGGTACGTTTTGCTATGCTGGTATTGGGAACTACGAGGGAACAGCTTCTAGACTTGAACATGTGGCTCAAACTCAACGATCAGGATGAGAGTTTCCTCCAGCTCGAAGCCTTACGGGCTTAGGGTTTGAAGTTTGGGGTGCCATTCAGGCTCCTGCCCTTTCAAAACCTCCAAACCATTCAATCCTTTTGAAACCTTGATCAACCATGACACCCTTATTGATGTGCGCCCGGACCGTGTGCAACCACGCACAGAGTAACTTCCCAACTCCTGATTGGTACAACACAATTTCCCTCAACCCTAAACCCAATTTGTCGCAGAGTTGCGAGTTCATACGAACCGGAATCTTCAACACGAAAAAACGAGAAGCACCCGCCCGGAACAAACCACCAAGGGCCCCGGCCGATAGTTGTGTGTCGAAAAGGACGACGGAAGGATACTCCTGCTTCGGTGCGATTCGGCAACGCCATGGATTCCAACCGTGTACCTCCTGCAGCCCACAGGTGGATTTACATGTTTCGGTGACCTCGAATGCTTGCCTAGACTCGTCCTTCTAACTCAGAGGTTACGAAGCTGCTCCTGGCCATCGCCGGCAATGCATTCGCCGCAGGCTTCGTGGCCCATGAAGTGGCGAAGAGCAGAACATGCCTTCACCCAGCTACTAGCAAGACTGCCCTCGGCAGAAAGAACCACTGCACATGCCAATCTTCAAAGGCAGCATTTGTTGTCAGGTCGGTCGACTGGGAAGGGCAGGTCCCTTGATATCCCAGGCCCCCAACATGCCCAAGCTTGTCGCCCCTAAATCATCAAGCTTAATCACTAAACACTGAACTGCAGCTCCAAAAGGACTTCACTACATTTACGAAGCCCAGAGCAACCTGTCGTCGAGAATCAGGAAGCCTTCAATTCTAGGCCGAGGTGTGGACAGAGCGCTAAACCTGTATCTCATACACTACGGATGTACCAAAATATGTACATACATAAGCACGTACGTACACGCATACGTATGCATGCACGAATGCATTCATGCATGTATGCTGTATGCATGACATTGTATGTGTGTGTGTGTGTGATTATGTTGTGCATGAATGCAGCAAGCAGCAATCAGTAAAAGCACAAACCGCATTTGCTCTTGAAGTTGATGATGTTTCCCGAGGGCTCCAGTTTCCTAAATACTGGGTTAGTGGGGGCACATTTTATTACTTGGGGCCCGAAAAACTCTGAGTATTTTTGGGCTTACCGCTTACAGGGGTTTAAAGCACGGCAACCCACTACCTATCCACATAGGTTTGTAGACGTACATGCACACATACTGTAGGCAATTTGGCCGCTGAGAGGGGCAGCACTGCCAGACTCTGCTGTGGGCATCTGCGTGGCGTCTTGGGCCCCCGGCATTCAAGAACATCAAATCCGGGTCGTGACACCTGGCGGATGTCTCAGTGCTCCTTCTCCCCGGCATCTATCCTTAAAACAAGAAGAAGTACGGGTTCTGATTTTGTTGTTTTGGACTTATGGGCCTCACCCAGAGGCCCCATAGTAGTTCCTTTTTGTGGCTTCTATTTGGGTAGTTGTCAAAATTATGGTTCCTTTTGGGGTACCCTAAATAATAGGTGCCGTATTATAATGAGGACCCAAAAAGGGACCATAAATTTGACAACCACCCATTTAAGATCCTATTAGGTAAGCCCGAAAAGGAACTGCTATGGGGCCTATGGGTAACTGTCGGACTTGGGCCTTGCTGTGTTTCCAGCGATTTGTGCTTGGGTTTAGGGTTTAGGGTTTAGGGTTTAGGGTTTAGGGTTTAAGGTTTAGGGTTTCGGGTTTAGTTTCAGCTCTGGGGCTGGCATTTCGCTCATGAGATTCAGGGTTCCAACACATTAGGTACTTTTAAGCGGCAATGCAAGCGCCTTAATGATGAGAGTAGGGTTTTGGTGTACATTATTATATATTGCTTGAAGAAGAGACCCTAGGGAATAGTATTGGTCACCTACATTATGCGTTTTGAGGTAATGCCTCATGACTCGAACACTAACTGTAACAGTTCCAGAAAGCATCCATAAATCCAGCACCTCAAACCCCAAAAAGCTTTAAGAACACGAAAAAATCCGCAGAGCTGCCAAGAGCTGCCCACCTCGCACCCGTCTCCAACTCTGAGCAGGTCGCCGCACAGCTGGCTCCCAGTCGTGAGACCTTACAAGGGCTGCAAGCTCAATATAGTCAGGGTTCAGGGTTTAGGGTCTAGGAGTCTGAAGCATTAACGATAGTATCCGTATATGGTCCCTATCATGGAAAGTCTGCTGTCCTCCAGAACCCTGTTCTCAGAATCGAGGCCCCTATGTGGTGTCATGAAGCGCACGGAGAGTGTGGGGCACAACATGCTGCCCCCAACCCCAATGAACGTCACCTACGCCAAACAGTCGGGAAGTTCTTTCTTCCACACTTTGCAAAGCAACATCGATCTCCTATCGCGCAAGCTATGCAGCCAGTGATTTCGGATGGGGTCCAGGCGACCACAGACGCCACGCCGGCAAGCAGCACTGGTCGTTGCCGCGGTATGTCCTCCCAGTCCGAATTGCTAAAACCACAAGATTTCGATTTAGGGTTGGGCCGGGTTGGGGCAGTGACCCCTAAACCCTAAACCCTAAAGCCCGAAACCCAAAGTTAAAAGCTTATAAAGTATCATCTGCGAGCTTCTTCAAGCAACCTATAGTCAGCAAATTCTTGGAAGATCTTGAACCCTAGGGTTTCTGGACCAGGCTCCTACACTAAACCCCTCAACCCCCCACCCCTTATACTGTAGCCTTACAGTACCACTTATAAAGGAACCTCCTATAGTATCCGAGGTTCCTACTGTAGGGGCCTGAATCGTTAGAATAAGGCTTTGCGGATATATTATACCATAATCATAATATAAGGAAAGCCCAAAATAAGACAGGTAATTATTTAGGCCCCTACATTACAAAAATCAGGCTGCATCTGTAAATATCATCGGGGACCCCCCAAAACAATATATAGGTAATTAATACCCTAAACCGTAAACCCTAAACCCTTAGGCCCCCATATTACAGTGACCCTACACCCTTAACCCCAAACACTAAACCCTAAAACAGTCATCCGGTCGGGTTGCCGGAGGGCCTGGAAGCCGGACACGTTGCTCCGGATGCCCGCAGCCGACCTCGGCATGGGGGTCCTCAAGGCTAATATAGGGGCCTTAGTAATACTAGCAAAAATAAAAATAATTCGAATAATAATGATAAAATGATAAAAAAGAATAATTCGCCTCGGCCCCGGCCGAAGCGGTCAGAGGTTCCTAGCGGGACTCCCCCGCCCCAGTGACCCCAGAATGCGGGAGGGGGGGGGGGGGGGGGGGGTCCCTGTGGGTGAACCCGAAAATGAGGTGCAGGGTCCTGGCGGTGAAATGTGCGCTCTCCGTAGGGAATCTCCACCCCCCCCCTCTTCCCCCCCCCCTCTACCCCTCCACCTACCTTGCTTCTGTGTTGATGCGCCGCCGAACGCAATCTCCTCCCCTTCCCCTCATCCGCTCCGCCAACGGCGCCTTCAGCACCAGCAGTTCGTTGGCCCTCTTTGTTTGCGGCCGGGCCGAGGCGGTCGACGCGAAGCGTTTTAATTACAAA